TTATTCGATCATAATAATAAAAACTATAGGCTTTAACGAATTACAATATTCAATGTGAAGAAGTTCTATCAAGTTTAAAAAATTGACATGGAACCTTTCGATCAACTAGTTTAAAAAATTGACATGGAACCTTTCGATCAACTAGTTTGGAACCCGTCTTAATTATGTATAACAATTCTTACCATTGGCTCTAGAAGAATGTCCTTATTAAGCAAACAATGCAAAGTATATTAAGCCCTATTGCATATCTAAAATAACTCTTTGAAACATTAGCTTCAAATTCAGAATGACATTAAAATGACATTAGTGAAGTCTAGCACAACTTTTACAAATTTCTACTTGTTGTTAGGAATGACATTACTCATACATGTAATAATTTGTTAATGCAAATCATAAAAATAATGAGAAACTCGGACTTCATTAGCCGAAAAATTGATTATAAAATATTTGAACCTATACACGTGTTTTGAACTATTCTTTAAATTTCTAAGATTGTTTTGTACTTTTGGTCATCCTTTAACTATTGCGTGGTATTAATCGAGTTATATTATTCAAGTTTTCCTCATTTAACTATTGGGTGGTATTTATCGAGTTATATCATTTCAATTGAAGCTTTCCTCATTTCCTTTTATCGACCATAATAATACAAATTAAACTTTATCGAGTTATATTATTCACTGTCAAACCATTGGTAAGTAAACAAATCAAAGTATACCAAACCCAATTACAAATCCAAAGTAACAATTTTAAATGATATTGGTATTAGATAAACAAATAAAAAAAATAAAAAACAAAGTCTATAAAACTGAAAACCTTGAAAAACATTAATTTAAAATGAGAAGTAAAAATGATTAAAAATAAATCAAAACAAAAAGTGAACAATAAAAATAGAAAGAAAAATGTCCCTTTCTAGATATCCATATAAATGGAAGAAAAGGTTATTAAGGATGCAAAAAGAAATAAAACACGGTTAAAATAACATAAAAAGATCGATATTATAATTAAAGTAAATTAAAATAAGATAAAAAATATAAAAATATAGAAAGCTGATTTGAATAAAAGTAAAATTATTATAAAATAAAAATAAAAAGATAAAGACTAGGAGAAAATAAATTACTGCAACATTAAATAAAATTCTTAATGCAATTTGCATGAAATGAGAATAAAGAAATAAATTTATAATTAAAATAAAAAATTAGTGTGAATAAAATAAAGACACAGAAAGCAAAAGCAGAAAAATAAATAAAAAGAAAGAAGAAAGGTACAAATAAAATAAATTCAGAATAATTATACTAAAATAAAAACAAAAAATAAATAAAATTAAAATATAAAGAAAAAATAATTTAAAATCAAATTTAAATTCACACAAACAACAAATATAAAAGAAGGAAAATGAAGAAAGAAGGAAAGTGACAGAATATGTAAGAAAAGAATTTAAGAAAGTTTATCTTAATGAAGATATGAAATAAATATTTTCTGTCTTTTGTTTTAATTTGAATTATGAAAGTGGAACATAATTTGAAAGAAGAAATTCCTATAATAAATTGTAAAAGAATCATAAAAAGAAACAAGAGTTTTTTCTTTCTAAAAAGAACTATAATTAAGATAAGAAATAGAAATAGGATCTACTAAATACCTAAATTTGATCACAAAAATGAACACAATTAAATTCTATCTAAACAAAAAAAATATTTTCTCAGAAAAAAATATCAACTAATCAAGAGCTTCTCCTTCCACTTTTAATGTTGGTGCTAACTAATTCTAGTAACAATGCCGAAAATATTTTTCGCTATTTGTTTTCTAGTAAATAAAGTCACAAAATTTTGTCCAGAGGAGTGTTTTAAAACTCGGATCGGTAACCGGTCGAGGTACTGGGTCACTGATTCAACCGGATTTATTGTTCACATATTAAAAGTATAAAAATACGACTTATATTAATAAAAATTCACATAAAAAAACTTTCAATGAGCTTCAAAAAATAAATTGATTTTCAATGATAGCAAATATTATATACTTCTAAGTTTCTAGCTCTAGACCATATCCTAATATTGGATTAAAATTGTAATATAAGTTAAATGCATCTTTTGTGCTTGACATGATACGGATAAATTAAATCATGATAACAAATAGCATGCATGAAATATACACTAAGAAAAGAGTGTCACCGTTATCATGATAACAAATAGTATGCATGAAATATACACTAAAAAAAGTGTCCACTGTTGAGATGAGATCATGAGACCATAAGTGTTTATCACTACTTAACTTCATGAGATCATTATAAGATGCAACTAAATTACATAAACGAACTGCACTAATCTAAAATATCTTATTATTTTCACCTTACTTTTAATCATATTTATCATAAAATATAAATATGATATAATTCAAGAGTTCTTATCAAAAAAAAAAAAAAAGTTACCAAAAAGAAGAAGAAGGAATAATCGGTCTAACCTGGGTCACCCGGTCAACCGGGTTTCGGCCGGGTGAACCGGTCCAATCCGGGTTGACTACAGAAGCGGTCCAACTACCTGCTCGGACCGGGAAACCCACTGGGTCACCGAGTCCCGGGTCGACCAGGCCGATCTGAGCCGGGTTTTAAAACACTCTCCACAGTGCAAAAATAAAATAAAAAACCTTTATTTCTTCAGTATTCCAAATTTATTGCGCATAAAAAAATGTAGAGAAAGTTCACCAATGCTCCTATGGTTTACTCCATAATCACTTATGCCCTGTGGTTTTTTTTCGATCACATATGCTCCTGTGCTTTGTAAAAACTAAGAAACCACAGGGGCATATGTGATAAAAAACATACCCTTTTACAAACCACAGGGACATATGTGATAAGAAAAAACCACAGGGACATAAGTGATTCTGGAGTAAACTACAGGGACATTGGTGAACTTTTCCCAAAAATGTATAATAGAAATGATATCATAATAAATTTTAAGTTAATCTAACCATTTTTATCAATAGTTTTCTCATTCGTTTTATCCACCTGCAAATCGAACTTTAATGAGTTATAACATTCAACATCAAGCAATTATTTTGATTCAAAAGAATGTCATTGAATCCTCCAACAACTAGTTAGCTTAGCACCAATTAAAATTTCTTTATAGAAATCTTAAAATGACATGAATTTAAAATTGTAAGAGATAATATTATTTCGTGAGATATGATAAAATATTTTAAAATTGAAAGAGATATTTTATCTCAGGTTAAAAAAAGAAATACTTTGGGGACTTCGCCCCTTAATGTTATCCAAAAAAGAAAGAAAAAAGAAACACTTATTTATTTGTTTTAAATGTTGGAAGTGACTTTGTATGTATTTTCATTAATCCTCAATCTTACTTTATTATAAAATATTATAATGAAGATTTTGGATAATTAATTGTCCACTCCACGGTGAGATAGCAACATAAGGGCTGAGGTTGTTGGTCTTGGTGAGGGGCTGAGGGCAGTAACGTAAATAGGAAGCACAAGCAAGGGTTATATATACCTAGAGACATGAACCCAAAAGCACACAGACCTTTTTCTTCGGCAAGTTACCCTTCTGAATTTGGCGTTTGTCTCGTGGTTACTCTGAAAGCGACCGCATCTATTTCGCTCTTCATTGGTCTTTACTAAGTCACACTCTCACATTCAACACTAATTCAATCTCATTCGCTTTTTCTCTTTCAAAGCGATTTTGGGGCTTCAAAGGGGCATTTGCAAGCAGCGCGGCGCAGCTCACTTTACCAGTGACTGTGTTCTGCGTCTTTCGATTCTCCCTTTCCCTTTTCACACAAGTGAGTTCAAATCGCTCTTTCTCCTTTCCATCATTGGTTTTTTGGACGATCAATCACTTTTTTTTTTTATCGGTGACTGCGAGTGCGGTAGTCGCTGTACAGAGGCATGATCTTTGTTCTGCATGTTACATGATCGTGCTTTCGGAAGGTTCCAGAATCGAGTTTCTGGCAATGTGCCTTCACTTTTCACTCATAACTAATAAATTTCTTAAGATTCTACTGCTAATCCACATTCTATAATCAGAAATCTTTATTAATTAGGATTATGGAACCAACCTGTATGACATTGATGTCTCCGTCCTAACCAAGTGTTCTTGAAGTGTGTTTTGGTTGATAACTTGGTGAAATCAAATTTCCCCCCTTCCATTGATCCGATTTAATCTTTACGCTGAATGTTGTGTTTATGTTCCCCTTGACAGTACAGTATTAGTTTATACGCTTCTTTTTTTGTTCAGGTTATCCTAATATTTTCGGACAAGGAACGTCTTCTGGTGCGAACCTTGGAGCGAAGCTTATCACTGTGCCCGACCCTTTATTGGTATTAGTTTATATTCTTTCACTACTGTCTTTTGACAGGGTTTTTTCCTCGAACAATTATTGCCTCCCAAAGTTACTGTGTTAAATACTGTCAATTTGGAATTTTCTTGTCTTATGGACTTGGTAAGACACTCCAGAGAATTTCTATCTTAAGGGAATTCGGCGTGTCCTACAGGCTACATCAGTGATTTTTCGTCTGTTTTGGGAAACCTTTCTATCAATAGTTCCGGCACATCTTTGGTTAAGCATAGCAATGAGCTTGTATGACCCAAATACAAGCCAGTCCATGCAAAATGGAAAGTCTTGCTATTAACTGAAACATCTTGCTGCTTCACCCTTTAAAATTTTGTGTCCTCTTTAAGTAAATTTTGCTTGCTGGACCTAATAATTTATTATTAGAATGTCTTGAAAAAGGTATTTATGTTGTTGTTTAATATTTGATTTTTTATTTTATTTTATTTTATAATATATCCTCCCATACTCGTACCTTAGTTCTTAAAATTTTGTCATACCCCTACCGGTACTATAACCATATTCATGCAACCTAGACTAAGCTAACAAACATACAAGTTCAGGTTTAGACAGTATGCGTGTGCATTATTTACTAACCTGTTCTTTAAGCTCATTTAGTTTATACTCTATTAATACTTTGCAAATGAATAGGCTGCTTGAAATTTTCTGCTGAGTGCAAGGTTACCAAGTTCTCATGGATGATGACATCTTTCGTGCGCACAAAGTGCCATCTTCTTCCATAACAGAGATAAAGTTCGATATTTTAACAAAGGCAGATATAGTTAAGTATATTCTTGATCTTATATCTATATGAGCTTTCTAATTATTCTTTGTGTATTAGTTCACTGTTACTTTAGCAATGAAATTAGATCAAATGGCATGCATTTACCGTGTGACACATAAACACCGAGTGGAGGGTGGGTTGAGAAGCACATCCTTGTTTGGTTGCATAAATTGAGTTTACCTTTTAACTAAGAAATCCCTATTATGCAGATTGGATTATCAATCATAAATCTTTTCTGATTGCCTTCTAATTTATTGACCATATATTGGATGCAGGAGAAATTCTCTGCCTTGGAGATAAATGCAGCCGGGCAGGTCACTTGTTCTGATTTGGGACTTCCAAATCTATCTTCTGAGTGCACCACATGTGGTGCTGTTTACGATAGAAATCATTGTGAAGGTGTGGATGAACAACATATTATATGGAAAATGTGTTTAGAGATTTTGTCATGATCATTGTAAATTTACTAGAAAAGATGCTGAAAGATTAGTATTTGATTTCAGGTCATTTTGGAGTGATCAAATTTCCTTTTACCATACTCCATCCATATTTTATGACAGAGATTGCACAAATTTTGAACGAGATTTGCCCTGCATGTAAATCTATTCGACGTGAATTACGGAACAAGGTCAGGACTTTTACTTTTCTACCAAATACTAATTCAGTTAATTTGATTTTTTTATTAAAATATGAATTTGGTTTTGGTCCACTGCTATTGTAAATGTTCAATATATTATATTAGGCATGTGTAATTTGCTTCGCATTGCTGTTAGAACAGTCAGGAGACAGCTCAGCTGTAGCTGTAGGAGTTATGATTCTGTTGAGAACAGAATCATAACACATTAAATTTTCGTTGCTTAACGGGTGAATTGACTAGACCAGACTGGTTGGTGCTTTGGTTCCTGGTTGAATTGGTTGATCTGGTCCTTTTTTAATAACAGTGCTCTAGATAAGCCAAAAAAATGAGTAAAACATTAATTACAGCATGTGTAATTTTCATTGCGCATTAATTACGAGTTTTAATTGTGATACATTGTCCATGTAAAACTCTTTGACAATTTTAGTGGCCAAAATGGTGTCCCTTCTCATTAGGTTGCAGTAACTATAGATTTTCACTTTTAATTAATGTTTTGAATTTGTTCTTTCATTGGCAGCAGCATGTGGCTCTTTGATAGTGTAAAACTCTTTTCATTTACTGTGTAAATCAGAAACAAATATGAACAAGGATCAGAGCAAAATTTTACACAAAAATGATTATTTCTGATTTTACTGTATGCATGAACTTGAGCTTTTCTATTTTTTTCCTCATATCAAATCTCATTGCTCTTTGGTCTGGAATAGTAAGAGTTCACTCCAACCAGTGTGCATGCACAAGTTCTCTCACATGCTTTTTTTGGCTACTTAAAGATGGAGTCACTTTGAGTATCTAAATCATTATCTTTGCTTATCTCCTGCAATAATAGAATTTATATAATGTTGCGTTCACATTATTCTAATGTTGAAACACGGTGGATCAGCCATATTTTATGATACTGACTTGGGACAAGCATCAGTGTTTTAATTGAAGGTTCAAAATACTTTATGAAAAGAACTTCAGCTTTGACATTTATAGCCTGAACTAAGTGGCTGATTTCAGCCATTGCTTGACTGTTTCAATTATATATGAGAGGTATGTAGGCTACAGGAATCTCTTTCAATCACAGGTTACTGTGTTGAATCAACTTGGGAACCTAACATCCAATATTCTACTCCGTTTTGCCTCTTGCTTTGAGAAAAAGGCAAAGAAAAACAAATATTTGTTTTATACTTTTACTAATTGAATGAACTAAAAGTTAAACCTATTTGTTTTATTCATTTAAAAGAAGCCAAATTTAATCTTTTTTGTTTCTGCTCTCTTCCACAATAAAAGTTTTCCTTCACTTTCTCTCTGTGCGTGTATTTTATTTATCTTTGTGTCCTGTCCTATCTGTAGGTTTATGGACATGGTTTTTTTTTTTTTTTTTTTTTTAAGATGTTTCTTTGTCGGCTATACAAATAGATTGAAGATCCAACCTTTTTTAAGTACTCACTCATCAGCCACTCTATGATCAATATTATTTAGTTGAATAGTTAATTGTTCATAAACTGGAAATATTTTTAACAAGAATTCAATTTTGAATTCCCCACAAAGACTCAATTTTTTGGGAATACTGGAACTAAAAATTTTGGGTGAACCGGAGCAGTGATTAAAACTGTTCCTTCATGACTGAAAGGTCATGGGTTCGAATCCAGGAAACAGTCTCTTTGCAATTATGCAAGGGTAAGGCTGGGTATAAGGATTTCCTCCACCCCACACTTGCTAGTCGGGTTTAACGAGGAATGGTTTTACTGGAACTAAAAAATTTAATGGAGTAGAAAAATAAGATAGTTCTCTGTTCCATTCATTTACTATTTAGTTCCCAAACAATGGTAATGGCATGTGATTCTGTCCCCTTATTAATCTTTCAAAGATGGGGAAAGTAGCCTTGCTCCATTCCTTTCTTTCCCTTCCCAGCCCTCCTGCTCTTGTTCTGTTATGTTCCGTTCCACTAAAAAATAAAATCCAAGCAGAGTGTAAAAATTAAACCAATAACCAGTTGTTTAGCATGTGTAAAGTAGACAATTAGACATGAAAAGAAATAGAGAGTTTGGACCTTCCATCCTGGGATGGGATGCCTAGATCATAAGGCAACTCTTTTTATTTTTTATTTTTTAAAAATCCTTCCCAAAATGTCCCAACTTTTAAGTTATATGGGATTCTCAAGTGCAATCACACATTGTCTGAGAAATTCTGCATACTGACGTACTTACCTGTGGTCTTTGCTTCCAGCTATTCCAAGAAAATCATTCTGTAGTTTTTTGGTCATTGTTTCTTTGTTGTTGTTATGTAGGTTGCCATTATGGATTTTCATTATTACTTGTTATCTACTTCCTATTGATAATTCAGTTATCTTCTTATAGGGTGCTCAATTAATCTCTGGAATCAAGCAGCTTAATGGTTGCAAATACTGTTTTGTAAGTTTGCATTGCTTCATCTTGGTTTGTTCACTCTGGAAAAAAGGAATTTTTTTTCCTTTTTATTCTTCTGTTGTTTGTGATTCTAAGACAGCTTGCGCATCAAACAGGGAAATGGTATGGGTCGTTATCCAGCAATGAAATTCAGAGTTTCTTCAAATGATCTCTTCAGAAGAACTGCAATTATTGTTGAAATAAATGATAAGACTTTAAAGAAGAAGAAAACTTTGGGGCCAAGATTGCCTGCTGATTACTGGGATTTTATTCCTAGAGATGCTCAACAAGAAGAAAATTATGTAAATAGAAGGGTTTTATCACCTCTTCAGGTAGCATTGCCCACTTTTACATACTTGTTGCAGTTTTGAATTATTTTCCTTTGGATAGTATGATATTAATATGCACTATATTAAAATTTAGTCTTTGCTAGAAGGTTACCAGTATGTTCCATAATTGTATAGTTGTATCATGTTAAATAGGATTAAAGAATGGGGATATGTGCTGTTTCCAGCTTAAATGCTTATTAGTGCCTCTAATGAACATGCTGCTTCGAAGCTTCAATTTGTGTCACATAAATGTATATACATGATTTAGCATATGCAAATTCGAAAAGGTAAAAAAATCATATAAATCTTTGTTTGCTTGCTTTGAAGTGGACAGGAAAGATACAATTATTTATCTGATTTGTATGGGGTTTAATTGCAACCAAATACATGCATTGTTGACTCAAATATTGGGATTCAAACTTGTTAGTTTTTAATTACTTGGTTTGTATTAATTACTTTATTGGACCCTCTGTATTGAGAAATGCTTTTTGATGTTTTTTGGAGTGACTGGGAAGCTAGGTCTGCTGGTATAAGCATACCATTTATTCCAAAAGGTTCCTGAATTTGTTATGATATTCTAAACTTAATTTTGAGTCATTTTTATTATGTGGTCATGCTTTTCTGCTTGTGTTATACTGATATTATTCTATATCTCCCCTTTTGATTTTCAGGTTCAGCTTTTGTTGAGTGATGTAGATCCAAACTTTATTGAAAAATTTGTTCGAAGAGCGGATTTGCTTAATCTTGAATGCTTTCCGGTGACGCCAAATTGTCATCGTGTGACAGAAGTACCTTATGCATTTTCCAAAGCAAAAGGATCGTTGAGCTATGTAAATATATTTCTTTTTCTCCTTTTATTTTCTATTTATTTATTTATAAGCTGTCACGTATAGTCACATGAATTCCAATTTTTGTTATGATACTTTTTCTTGTTAAATATTTTTAGGATGACCGGACCAGGGCTTGTAAGAAATTGGTTGATTTCAGGGGTACAGCTGAAGAGTTAAGTTCTCGTGTGTTGGATTGCCTGAGGATCTCTAAGGCAAGCTGCCCAGCCGTTTTGCCTTTTTTATTTTGCCATGTTGTTGAAATGTTTGATTTTTGCTTATGATTCTACTTTTATAATGCAGCTAAATCCTGATAAAACACCACATAATATTTTTACTGATATCCAACAAAGAAAGATTGCAGAAAATGGTTGTAATTCTTCTGGTTTGAGATGGATGAAAGATGTGGTTCTTGGAAAACGCAATGATAGTTCATTCCGGTCTGTGGTTGTTGGTGATCCAGATCTTGAGCTTGGTGAAATTGGTATACCATGTCAAATTGCAGAAAGTTTGCAGGTTTCTGAGTATGTGAACAGCCATAATAAAGAAAAATTGCATTATTGTTGTGAGCTACACTTGTTAGAGAAGGGACAAATAAATGTCTGCAGAAAGGGTCGTTCAGTTGTACTGTACAAAAAGGAGGATCTACAAATAGGAGACATTATTTATAGGCCTCTTGGTGATGGGGATAAAGTGTTGGTAAATAGGCCTCCTTCCATTCACCAACATTCTATGATTGCTCTCAGGGTTAGGGTCCTTCCGATATCTTCTGTAGTATCTATTAACCCACTCTGTTGTTCCCCCCTGCGTGGGGATTTTGATGGTGATTGCCTTCATGGGTATATTCCACAATCAGTTGGTGCAAGAGTTGAGCTTAATGAGCTGGTTGCTTTAGATAAGCAATTGATTAATGGGCAAAGTGGTAGAAATCTGCTTTCACTTTCTCAGGATAGTTTAACTGCTGCATATTTGCTGATGGAAGATGGGGTCCTTTTAAATGTTTACCAAATGCAGCAGCTTCAAATGTTTTGCAGTAAAAAATTAACACCTGCTGCAATTGTAAAAGCTCCTTCAAGTAAAACCTCATTTTGGAGTGGCAAGCAAGTGTTCGGCACGCTCTTGCCGTCTAAGTTTGACTATGATTTTCCTTCAAATGGTGTTTTTGTCAGTGACGGGGAGCTTATATCTTCTTCTGAGGCTTCTGGTTGGTTGCGTGATTCTGACCACAATGTTTTCCAATGTCTTGTGGAACGTTTTCAAGGGAAAACTCTAGAATTCTTGTATGCTTCTCAGAAAGCTCTTTGTGAATGGTTATCAATGACAGGATTTAGTGTTTCACTCTCAGACTTGTACCTTTCTTCTGACTCTGATGCACGGAAAAATATGATGGAGGAGATCTCCTTTGGCTTACGAGAAGCAGACCAGGCATGTAATTTCAGACAGTTATTGGTAGATTATTATTGTGATTTTCTGTCTGGGCATCTTCAGGAGAATGAAAATGCTATGACTGTTGATGCGGATCGTTCGCATTATGAAAGGCAAATATCCGCTGCTCTCAGTCAAGCATCAGTTGATGCTTTTAGACAAGTTTTTCGCAATATTCAAAGTTTAGCTGACAAATATGCATTTAAGGACAATACTTTCCTTGCTATGTTTAAGGCTGGAAGCAAAGGTAATTTACTGAAACTAGTACAACATTCCATGTGCCTTGGCCTGCAACATTCTCTGGTTCGCTTGTCATACAGAATTCCCCATCAACTTTCTTGTGAAGCTTGGAATAGTCAGAAGGAGCTTGATTCAATCCAGATGTTTTCTGGTACTCTTGAATCTGTTAAGTCTTACATTCCATGTGCTGTGGTTGAAAGCTCTTTTCTGACTGGGTTGAATCCATTTGAATGTTTTGTTCATTCAGTGACAAATCGTGATAGCTCTTTTAGTGACAATGCAGACCTTCCCGGAACGTTGACACGCAAACTTATGTTCTTCATGCGTGATTTGTATGATGCATATGATGGAACTGTCAGAAATTTATATGGTAATCAGCTGATTCAGTTTTCTTATGATACTGAGGAGGACTCATCTTCTGATTGCTGTTTTCAAGAATATACTATAGGTGGTGAACCAGTTGGAGCACTTTCTGCTTGTGCGATTTCTGAAGCTGCATACAGCGCTTTGGGTCAACCAGTTAGTCTGCTTGAAACATCACCTTTGCTGAATTTAAAATACGTCCTAGAGTGCGGTTCAAGGAAAAAACGTGGTGCCCAAACTGTGTCCTTATTTTTATCTGAGAAACTTGGTAAACACAGAAATGGGTTTGAGTATGCAGCCCTAGAAGTTAAGAATTATTTGGAAAGAATGATATTCTCGAACATTGTATCTACTGTCATGATAATATTCACTCCACAGTCTTGCATCCTAGAAAAACACAGTCCCTGGGTTTGCCATTTTCATTTAGACAAGGAAATTATAATGAGAAGAAAATTGAAAGTGGATTCTATCATTGACTCTCTTTACCAGAGATGGGACTCCCTAAGCAAAAAATCAAAAGTCATATTTTCCAGTTTGAAAATATCAAGCAAGTAAGTTTCTTCTGTTCTGGTGCTTCAAACAACTTTTATTGTTACTTGAGGAAGCCTTCACTGTTCATGAAGGCTGTAAAAAGATTGATGCTTTACATCATTCTGATTCCCACTGCTGTCTCCTATCCCAGAGTTCTATATTAATTTGCTGTGCCTGTTGAGCATAGGATGTTAATCCAGATAGGCAATAAACTACATCTGGAGTTGTTATTCCTGTAAATTTATTTAAGTCGTGATTCCAGAACAGTTTTGTTGCTTCTGCTATGCTAAGTCAAAGTCAAAATGATATTTGTTTTACTAGTTTCCTTACTGTCAACAGTTGTACGTATTTACCCAACTACTTTTGATGCAAGCCCTGATACTTTCTATAATTTTGGTACTTCCTTTAAATATAACTGAAGACCTCTCTGGCTTTGATACAATTTGTTACAGAACTACAGAGAACTTTTTAAATAGTAGAAAGGAAGAGAACAGAGATTGAAAATTAGAAGTGAAGGTAGACAAGTAGGGGATCATCTATAATGATGATCAAGTATGTACTCAATATTTTAATTACGATGAGACCATTATAGAGGTATTTGGAAGTTTCTTTGTTACTAAAGTTGTCAATCATGTTGCAACTTAACTTTTTAAGCTCGGTATTGTTCTGTAGACCAGATGTGTATTTACTATTTACAGCATAGACTTTATATAACAGGTAAGATAATTATAAGTTTCAATTTTGATCAAGAAAGAACAAAGCCAAGGGTGATTAAATAGATTTTTACATAGGGGAAAACTGGTCCTGTTTTTCAGGCTTATAAAAAAGCAACCTAGTGTCATAAAGTTCGTGGTATGCTTAAGGTCCAGGTCACATGGCAATCCTAACGTTGTGCAAGGGTCCCCTTCATGTCTCAATACCTGCTGGAATGTAAAGGACGCCAGCTGTTAGTGGTGATAAACAGTATAATCCTTTACAGATATGTTGAGGGATTGGGTAGCTTTTCTTCATTGATATTTTTCACTTTTTCTTTGTTTTTTGTAGCTTGTTTCTATTTACAAGTTAAGGAGGTCTTTGTATTTATCTTCTCTTTGTTCTAATGTGTTTCTTCTTTTAACAAAATAGTTGATTCAAATTGCTTATATTATCTCTCTAACTTTTTCTGCATTAATTGTTATTCTTGCTTGGAGCTTTACCATCCCTATTAACTCAGACAATGAAATCGCAGGAAGTGTTGTGAAGATTACATGGCTAAGAAAGGTGAAGATACTTCTACAGATAAAGTAAAGGAGGGTGAAGATTGCATCACTGTTACTATTGTTGAAAGCTCTAAGAATTCTATACAACTGGATGATGTTCGGGACTTGATGATGCCTTTTCTTCTAGGAACAGCTATAGAAGGTTGGCAATAGTCTAATGTGAATATCTATTTGTAGTTTCAAATGATGATTTGTACATTAGCCTTTTAGAAATTACCTTGATGAGCTGATATACGCTGGGACATTTCTTCAACTGTTGTTCAAGTTCAAAGTATGTTTTGGTGCATAGTTATAGTTTTTCTTTGTGGTCGTATTAACTTGTATGATTCCATGTTTGTGACAAAAAATTTACAATTCATTTGGCTATGATGGACGTTAAATAGAGTTAAAAGATTTTGTTTTTTCTTTTTTTGGATAATGAAGTTAAAAGCATAGTTGTATCAACGTAGTTCTACCTAGTCAGATGGCCAGGTCACCAAAAATCAGTCAGATATTTAAAAAAAATAAAAAATAAAAAATAAAAAATTGATTTTTACCACTAGTTTTACGACATATGGGTTAAAACATGCATGCATATGTATTTCTTGTTATGGTAAAAATATGATCATATTTACGGTTATCATCATGAATTCCTGAAATACTCTTTAGGATTTCTGGAGATCACGAAGGTTGAAATTCTCTGGAATGATCTGTCAAAAGTACCAAATTCTTATAATTGTTCTTCTGGTGAACTGTACTTGAGGGTTACGATGTCCACCGACAGTCATAATGGAGCATTCTGGGGTGTACTCATAAATCATTGTCACAAGATTATGCATATGATTGACTGGACACGAAGTCATCCAGATAACATTCATCATTTCAGCTCAGCCTATGGAATCGATGCAGGGGTGCAATATTTTCTTCATGTGTGTATGGTTTAATAACTTTCCCTCCTTTATTTTAGGTTCCAACTGCAGTATATGGCAATATGTATTTAATTTACTAGCATATGGTTTTAACTGTAGAATTTGGCATCTGCAACATCTGATACTGGCAAGTCAATACTTCCTAAGCATTTGCGTCTTGTTGCCAATAGTCTCTCAGCTTGCGGAGAGTTTGTGGGATTAAATGCTAAAGGCATGGCACGGCAAAGACAACATGCATCTGTTTCATCACCCTTTGTGCAAGCATGCTTTTCTGTCAGTTTTCACATTTATCATTCCTGTCAAATGCTTCTTGATTTATCATGTAATGAGATTATGATAGCCCATATAATTCATGCTGGAATGTTATTGCAGAATCCTGGTGGTTGCTTTATAAAAGCTGCTAAGTCTGGAGTTGTGGATGATCTCCGGGGAAGCCTAGACGCATTGGCTTGGGGAAAATGTCTTTCAATGGGGACGAGTGGACAGTTTGATATCATATATTCAGAGAAGGTGAAGTTATTGTTTTTTATCTGTTAAATTTCTTGTCTCCAATCATGTTTTAATGGATCTTGAATTGATTCTATTTTCAAAGAACCCAAGAATGTCCAAGGCAGTTGCGCAAAGGTTTTAATGTATAAGGACATTTTCCTGCCCTGAAAAAATCTTTTAGTCTTTTTTTAATAGAAAACTGATATGTCTGACATATTCAAGTTATGAAAATTTTTCGCTTTATATCATAAACTTTTGAGCAAATCCTCACAAAAATACAGCACCCTCTTTGTGCTTATTATAGGCTTTCTTATTGACCGTTTCCGCGTTCAAATGTGGCCATTTGTAATGCATTTTAATAGCTTTACACTGATTTTTATATCACGAGGTTGTAGAGATATATGGCTTTGGTTTCTCCATTATCATTTTCAATTCATACACCTTAATTCGCTGTTTCTAGTAAACATTTTATTTATTTCTCTGGCAACAATGCAAGTGCATTAGAGCTGAGGATATTTTATCTGGGTTTGTGCTGGGGAAGGAAAGGTTTATAAGAGCTTGTGGGTTATAAACAAAATTATCTTGTACTTTGCAAGTTGTCATGTATTACTTTGTCATTTAAAATGGTCTGACATTTGCTTTTATCAGGGACAAGAGCTTGCTAAGTCTGTAGATGTGTATAACCTGCTAGAAGACAGTTTTGACCAGCTGAATGATAAGATTGATACCCCTGATTCTCACAAGTATTCATCTGACAAGTGCGGTTCTGAGTTTAGGTATAAAAATGGTGGTTATGCCTTGAAAGAGAGTAAACAGTGGAAAAGCATTTTGAGAAATTTCGTGACTGTAAATGATATTCAGAAGCTGACTGTTTCATCAAGGCGCATATTGAACAAGTAAGATAATCCACATATAACTTTTCTATGTCAATATGATGTGTTGTGTATTTAAGGGCATAAAGCACTGTATATTCTATGTAGTGTTGTTTATATTACCATATATAGTGTGCATTATATTAAATAGCACAACTGGAGGGTTGTGTATGTATTAGTATGCCTGCCATGATGGGTTCTTGTATTTTGGTGCTTGCGCGAAAGTATTTTCTGCTGCATCATCATTATTCATTAAATTATGTTTTTTTCTTTCTTTCTTTCTTTCATTCTTTAACAAAATTTAGATCATGGAGTATTTTTTCCTTGAGTACAATGAGATCAACTGCTTTGCCTTCTTGGGTAATCTTTTAAAGTATCATGCTTTGTTTGGACGGAAATCTTTTATTAAACTTGTTAAGAGATAGAAATCCATCCTTGAGACTCATCCCAACAACTGAAACTTTTAGGAGAGAATTGGTCCTTTAAAAACTTATTTTCTGTGTAGCTGTATCACAGTGTTTTGTATTAAGTATGATCAATAACAATTTTTTTTTTGAGATACTGATATCAATTTATCTTAATTATTTCCCTCTGGAAATTAATTAGTAACATCAATAATTTACTGAGGGAGTGTTGAGTGATAGATTTTACGTTGGGAGCACAAGGAAAAAACTTCGAATGGTTATAAATTTGTTTATACAGTTGGCTCAAACATACAATTGAACTTGATAAAATGGTTTGGGAGGGTTTTTTTTTTTTTTTTAAAAAAAGAATATGCATTTATTGATAGAGGATTATTATTATTATTCCTTCCTTTCGCAGACCACCAAGGCAGTTTCATTTATTTATTTATTATGTTCCTCTAGGCTGTCCCATGTAGATCCTTCTTATTCTCCATTCAACTCATAAATTTAGGGGCAGGGTAGGCAACCAATTTTATAATTGAATTTTGAAATGAAGTTTAGTTTTTACCTTTTCTTCTTCCAGTTTCAGGAGATTGGACTTTTAAAATAAGGGTTAAATTATTCTTTTAGGCCCCTATTGTTTCACTGAATTTGCAAGTAAGTCCTTATAGTTTTAAAAGTTTTAACGGGTCACTTTACATCCAATTTTTTTTCGAGTAGTTGTTTGTTTTGTGAATATTGTTACTAAGCTTGAGGTATATATTTATTGGGAACAGTTGTGTTTGTTTGTCTTGGTTCCCTTATCATGATTGAAGATCTATGTTTTGCAGAATCATTGTCTACTTTGGTTGTTGTCTATGTAGGTATTCGATTGATCAGCTATTAAGTGAGTGGGACAAGGTAACAATGCTGAAGGTTTTGCGTTTTCATCCTCGTAGAAAAGAAAAACTTGGCCCTGGGCCACAGGACATAAAGGTATGTGTGCTTGTGTGAAGAAGGTTTGTATGCGAGGCCAAAATTTATTTTGTTTCTTCATGCATGTGCATAAAGGTAATGTTTATTTAACTAGAGCACTTCAATTTCAAAGTCGTGAAATTTTATTTATGTTCTATGAAGAAAATTATTATCTCTGCCTTCAGTTTAACATATTCCTTTGAAAATGTTCATTTGATTTTTGTCGATGTTACATCATGGTAAACATCTATACATTATTGAACTTGTTGAATTTAGTGCGGTCACGAAAACAAGCATAAGCTCACCAATCCCCCTCTCCCCAGCATCCCATAAGGCTTCTACAATCTTCTCCTTTTCCTTCTTACTACTAAATTTTGTGGCCATTTGCAATGGTGTTGCATGGGCTAATCTCACGTAGCACTTGTCCATGTGCTGTCGATGCCCATGTGGGTATGATACCTGATGCAGCAAGAGATTTTTCAATTTATTTGTGTCGGTATCTTTTGAACATACCACCTGATAATTTTGCATAAAAAGTAGAAAAGCTTATCTAATATTGCATTGTTTTTTCTTCATTCTAAAACTTTAGTTGCTAAAATATTTGTTTTCACACTGGGTTAACTCTGCCAAATATCCCTAAAAAAGCAAAATGAAAATGGTGCAGCCATGTTTTGTGAAAATAAGAAGAATGAAGAGAAATGTTTTGCGTTTGTTAAGTTAAATTGCTTGGTACAATTGAACATTTTCTTCTCTTTTTTTAACATATTTAAACTGAAATTTAGGAGCTACTATTTCACTTTTCTATTAGGAAAATTTCATTCCAAAAAAAACATTTATTGGAGGAAACCCCTATTAATGATATAGCAGCTATAAGAAAGAAATTATTTAACTTTAAACTGCAACCCGCTCACGTATTAATAAGTTTAACATAGAGATGATTGTGACAATTTTGCTTCTTTTGCCAATGTCAAAATTTTACTAGTTAAATGCTTTGTGTAATAAAGTTCTCTTGCTCGTGGTTACCCATGCCTTTTTTTTTTTTTTTTTGTCTTTTCTATTCGCAGGTTGGATGGCATCCTAAACATAAGGATAGCCGTTGTTTCCATATAATACGTACCGATGGGACTGTTGAAGATTTTTCCTACCGCAAGTGCATTCTTGGTGCTCTTGAGATTGTTGATCCAGAAAAGTCCAAGAGCCAGAAGAAAAAATGGTCGGGGAAGGATGACATTTAAGTTATCTTTATGCATGCATGTCCAAGCATAATAAGTGACTGGCATTTGAACTGGTGACAGTCATAGACTAAAAAATGAGGTGATGTTTTTCTCTGAAGAAATTATGGTAATATACAGTTGGAAGGTTAATAGCAGTGCCAAGACTCTTCAATCACAAAAAACAAGGTTGTTTTTCTACCTTTGATTTAAAAGGTTGTCCCAAATCAATGGTAGAGAAGCACAGTTGTCTTTTGTGGGTTTTGAGTAATGCCATTGGCATTAATCCAACTAAAAGGTGAATAGTTTGGAGCCTTCTTTCGTTGTATACTATCTCAAAGCTAGACTGAGTAGTAGTTAACTCAAATGTAGCTCGATGAATTTATCTCGTCTGATAGAAGCAGTGGCAGCGAATCAAGATGAAAGTGATAATTTTGTACAGCGCACATTTTGAAACAAGGAGATGACGCATAGAAGGGAGTATACAAGTTGAAAGCAAATGGTAGTACATTTTTTTTAATATTAACAACTAGCTTATCTTTTCGTGATAAAATATGGAGTGGGTTCTTACCTTAGCTTCTTTTTGCTACTTCCACTAATACTTTGTTTGCCTCCGATTACGTTAGGCAAAGAAAGATCTAGTGGAAGCAGCAACGAGAAGCTTGTAAAGATTTTACCCCAGACCAGATGTATTGATGAATATGTGGCAGTTAATGTATTATTTGTTTAGCCTGCCTCCTTCAAATGCGATTGCTGTCTCCTGCATCACTACACACACACACACACACAAATTCAATGCTGATAATTTCTTATTAGCATGTATTTCACTCAAATCAGCTTTGGATTGAAAATTTACATCATGCATATCATACTCAAAAGTTTTCGTTAATTTGTGTTTTGTGCAGGATGTACTTCACTTAAAAATACTAATATATTGGAAGTTTATATTATGCAAACCGTGCTTATAAAGTTTTACATTAATTATGTTTGTATTTAACGTAAATATAGAGGCCATCCTTTTAACACTGGTGAAATTAATCTGACACTGATGAAAACTTTTTATACAATGAATTTTATAAAAAGTTCACCGTTGGATTGAAAATAGGGATATTGCGTACAAGCATATTAATACAGTTCACATTAACCTTAGATTGCTTTATGCTCTATTCAAACGAGTTAAAATTATTGCAACTTTGCTTTCTAAATAAATCATTAAAAAAATTTGATCACCTGTTTATGCTTGTTTATCTTCTTTTTAAATCTTACTTACAAGTTCTACGTAACTTGTAATTAAAATACCTTACTGAAGGCTTAGATTGACCGAAAGTGTTCGTTTTAGGATAAAAGAAGTTTTTGAACGATATAATTGTATCAATCTTTATGCGTTCAATGTTCATATACTCATTAACCTCGGTGTAAATTAAACTAAATTTGTATCGTTAAGTAACTTTTTAATACATTCTGAATAAAAATATTTTTCATACAGTTCATATTAATAAACTGTTACGTTTATTCAAGAGATTAGTTATTAAAGGGATTTTATATTGACATTTAATACTTTCTTGATTCATCTCTATTAATTGCTACATCACTTTCAGTAATTAAAATAAATATCAAATTTAAAAAATAAAAAAGGAGTCTGTGATTGCTGTTCTTCGTCTAACTCAAATCATTTTAATCTACTCCACAACCTCATTTTCTAATTCTTCTTATTTTCTTTTCATATTTCATCTTTGATGCATTATGAAATTGCTGTTAGAGTGTACTCAATGTTTACTTGTTGGCAATTCTAGTGCATATCAAACAAAATCTTATATCGATGTCATGGTTATTCCATTGAATTACGCACTGAACTGGCAGAAAGTCACACTGATAAAATTTCACCACAATTGGATCACGAAACTGAATTGATTGAACGATTATTTGATTGCCCATTTCATATGTGCTTTTTATTGACCTCAAATACTAATTGGTCGAAAATCAAACCCTAAACGGGCCAAATGGGGCTTGTGAAGTTTGAACTCTTCGAGAGAGAGAGAATACACGTGGACGTGCATGTGGTAAGCTGAATAAATGAGAGTGCGAGGGGGCAGAACTGCTTTTTCTTTTTTAGGAAATATTTTTTTCAGTCATCAGTAAATTTTACTATGTTCGCTTTAGTCCCTAGCAAATAAAAAGACTTTTCGTGGTTCCTAAGAAATTCAAAGTGGACCCATTTTAGTCCTTTTGAAGACTAATGTGGATCTTTTTTGAATTTATGATGGACCACGATTTTAACTAAATGAGTTCATTTTGAATTTCTTAGGGACCACGAATAGCTTTTTTATTTGCTAGGAACTAAAGCGGGCATCATGAAATTTGCTGAGGACCAAAAAGAGTATTTACTCTCTTTCTTTTTTTTTTTTTTAGTTTAGAAATTTATTTAATTACTAAAAGTGATATGACAGTTAAAAAATGGACTTGCCATTATATTATTGAACTTAGGGCCTGTTTGGTGTGACGTTTAAGACATGATAGTATAAGTTTATACTATACATTATGACATTTTAGTTGTTTGGTGTGACCATCGTATAGTATAAGTTTATACAGCATAATCCCTTAATACATCAAAACGATGTATAACTTAATCCGGCCTAAGGGTGAGGGATAAGGCCTGATAAGAAATTGATGTATTAACATCGTTGACCAATGTAATTCTCAAAAATTAATATGTTATTTTAATATTAATCTATTAAAATAAAAATTATTTTTTCAATATACTAATTTTTAAAATATTGAATATTTTTATTTTTACAAAAATTAATTTATATTTTGGACACACTGATCAATAAATTTTTATAAAAATTAATATCATATGACATTTTTTGAAGAATTATATAAATTCTTTATTAAAGGATATTTTTAGAAAAAATATTTATTTTTATCATATATAGTATTATACAGTGCATTATCAAATACTAGATGATATTATCTTATACAATATATTATTTTATACAATACCGTACCAAACGTTGGATAGTATTAAAATTCAATCAGGTCTTATACAATCAGGTCTTAAAAAAAAACACAATATGTATGTATTTGTTAAATTATAAATATCAATTAAATTAACATTGCATGTTAAATTTTAAAAAAAATCATATAACAATAAATGCGTAATCAAATTTTTCCTCTTTTTAAATATTTGAGAAATATATACTATATTAAATCTAATGAAATACATCTGGAACTGGAATCATACATGACTATAGTAGACTAATTTTTTAATAAAATTAAAAATAATAGTTAATTATGTCCCAATAGAGCAATCATTAGTGAGTGCAAGTACATAGAGTCAGCGAGGTTGGGATCCAGCATTGGGATAAGGAAGCTTCTAGAGTACGTTTCATGGTGTGTCTGATTGATTGTGATTTTTGGTGTGCGAGAGTGAGGGTGTAGAGTACAATCTCTCTATTTAGTTTCTATGGGTTGTCTTGTTTGGAGAATGTAATGTTGTCTCGAGCCGATTTGTTAACATGCAATATGGTAATAACAAAGCTATGTTTACTTTACGTAACTTGCCACACATAACGTATTTTTTCTATTTATGATCTTTACAGTCCCATACCTGTACAGACTCCATACTTGACAACCCTTGACCATAATTAATGATCAAATATCTACCCGAAAATAATATTTAGTATTACTTTGGATATAGTTTTACGAATAGCATAACTGTTACAAATTGGACTATCTGGGGATAAAATCAAACTATAAATTTTTTTTCACCCTACCTGTGAATAATCCGCGTCACACAACCGCAGTGCTGTCGTCCGGCGAGAAGCATGGGTGATATTAACACTGACAACATGGGTGCCACAATTTCATCCTCCAAGTTGCTCTTCTTGGCACCAAGCATGTGTTCCCCCAACTACTAATCAGCTTGTCATCTTAATTTTGGGGCTGTCTTTGCTGGGTATAGGCACAGGTGGAATTAGACCATGTAGTATTCCCTTTGTCATTGATCAATTTGACATAACTTCCCCTGATGGATGGAAAGAAGTTAGCAGTTTCTTAAATTGGTACTACACCACACAAACACTAGTCATGTTGATCAATAATACTATAATAGTTTACATCCAAAACAAAAACTGGGTAACGAGTTTTGGGATTCTAGCCCTTCTCATGTTATGTGCAATAATCACATTTTTTGCCGGAACAAGAACTTATTTTTACCTTCTAGCAGAAGGGAGCATATTTTTGGTATTGCACAAGTGTTTGTTGCTCCTTACAAGAAGCGTCACCTCAAAAACCCAGCAAATGAAGAGGAAGTTGTTTACAATGATCCCCTAGTAGGAGATGATAATGCAGTGAAGATACCTTTAACCAAACAACTTAGGTAATGTACCTCAATCTCAATTATGTATTTTAATATTTACTGCTCATCTAATTAAGGACTAACTTTTTTTGGCAGCTTTGATTTTTGCACAGGTTTCTAAACAAAGCTACTATGATACAAGACAATGAAGTTAATGCAGAAGGTTTGGTCACAAATTCATGGAGGCTTTGCAACATTCAGCAAGTTGAAGAAGTCAAATGTTTAATTAAAATGATACCAATCTGGGCTTCTGGTATCTTGTGTTGGATACCAATGGCACAAGCAGGAATCTTTCCTATAATCCAGGCCATGAAAATGGACCGCCACCTTAGACCACACTTTGAAATTCATGCTGCATCATTCAGTATAATAGTCATAATCAACATTGGAATATGGCTCCCCTGCTATGGCCTCTTTGTGCAATGAGCTCTAGCAAAAGTCACAAAACAAGAGGAAGGGTTGACAAACCTTCAAAAGATAGTGATTGGTAAATAACTACTATGCTGAGTTAAATAAAGTATATTTTTATCTTGGGAAATATTAGTCTTATGTAACATGAGAGAATTTTTCTCTCTTGCACTCACATTTTAGAGGAGAGAGAAAAAAATAAAGAGTGGGCTACACCCTTGATATGTGAGTGCATGAGAGAAAAATTCTCTCATGTCACATGAGAGTAATATTTCCCTTTTCTCTTTTACTTCAATTGTTGTTTGCGTTTTGCGTAAATAACTACTATGCTCAGTTAAATAAAGTATATTTTTATCTCTTTACTTCAATTGTTGCTTGCGTTTTGCGTAAATAACTAGCATGCTTAGCTAAATGACTACGATGCTTAGTGAAGTAAAGTATATTTTTTGTGACTAGTTTTATTTTGTTTTAGGATTAAAGTAAACATTAGAAATTATTTTTCCCCACCCTACCTGTGCATAATCCGCGTCACACAACCGAAGTGCTGTCGACCGGGGAGAAGCATGGGTGACATTAACACTGAACACATGGGTGCCACAATTTCATCCTCCAAGTTGCTCTTCTCGGCACCAAGCATGTGTTCCCCCAATTTCTAATCAGATTGACATCTTAATTTTGGGGCTTTCTTTGCTGGGTAGAGGCACATGTTGAATTAGACTATGCAATATTCCCTTTGTCATTGATCAATTTGACACAACTTCCCC